CCTCCGCCACAGCAGCCACTGCCTCCCATGGGCGGTAGCTGAGGCTCAGGTGGTGTTGTGGGGGGCAGGGGGCTGCAGACCCACATCTCTGGACCTGTAATCCTGTAGCTGTGGCAGCTGGGGGCCCTCTCAGACAGGGCTGGGTGAGTGGGGAGGCTGTGGGTGGGGGGAGTGAGGGGCGTCAGCAGGGGTGGGGGGAAGGGCGTGATGGATTTGGGGGGTTTTAAACAGAGAAAACCAGGATCCCTGTTAATAATACTGTGCAGTAGTATATTAGCACTGTCTGTGCTGTGACACACTACTGTGCAGTATTTTTCAGCTACTCTGCAGTCAGTGTCCCATGTAGATGTGCCTTCTGTGTCTAAGAAAAAAAGATTCTTGATCTGGATGCAGGTTGTGCACAATTGAAAGATGATTCCTGATTGAGGCATCAATATATTACTACAATAAGAATAATGAATTATAAATAATATATACATTTCACTACATGTCATTGTACACTTGCTATATGCATAAATTATCCTTCTTGAACATATTTTTACCTCTAAAGATGATAGATTATTTGGCTCTTAATGCATTATAGTAAGCAAACACAAATTGCCAATGTATTATGCATGTAATTTTACTTTTGGTCATGTCTTTGCCCTGTTGTACAAATTGCTTGGGTAATTTTTGATTAACAGAATTTTGGAAACCAGCATTTTGAGTCTAGGGGACACTTCAAAAATTTGCACACCTGGGGTTTGTGTAATCAGAGTTCACCATATGTTATTTAAATAGAATATGGATTTTCTCATTAAAATAAATCCTTTTTTAATTGTTGTATATTGCTTGAATACAATTGACGTACAATTTTGAAAAGTACCTGAGAGAGGGGGGGAGAGAGAGAATCTGTTGTATTTGTTGTTAATTAAAATGTTTATATAGATAAATAGAGTCTGAATTTTTCCTTCTAAAACAGTTGATCTTCAAACAAACACATATACCCTCTCGCCTCTGATACACCCCTGAACACAAGGGTTCAACAAGTAATGACTAAATCAATGGCTTGACATCACCTTTTGGTTTGTTTAGTGTATTTCTGAACTGAACTGTAGATGGATATGAAGCAAGTAGAGCATTTGCTCTTGAAAAAATCGACTCTGAATTCTTAAACGAAAAGCACTGCATTTTCCCAGCTACCTGACTCCCTCTGTTTTAGTATTACCTTATCTTTGTACACACAGATAAATCTGAAAGGGGGATGTTCTGCTTAAGTTTAATGAATGTAAATGGAAATATTATTTTTTTAAACTATGACACGTTGCTGTTAAAGCAATGACATGCAAATGATACATATTGTTTAGCTGTTAACAAGCCACCTATCACAAATTACTAACAGAATATCTGGGTTGACTTCATATCCTGGCACTGATATTTAAAAAAAAAAAAGATCTCTAGGTTAAAGTTTTTCATGCTTGTTTTCAGCCTTAAATTGTCTTTTCTATAGGTAACATTGATATAATTATCTGGATGGTCATTTTAATCGTCTTAAACAGGAAACTGTCTTTAGCTTTGCAAAATATATTTCTTACCCTTTTTCTGGTCTCCAAAAAAACTGAAAAACAGCTCACTTTTAAAACTTTGACTGTCAACTTGTTACTCAGAAACATATACTAATATACCTAAATCTGAGTTAAATGAGATTTAAATCGGATTGTTTTTCTTTTTCTTTTTTTTTTTACTACTGTGCAGGTCTGCAGGATGCTTTCTGATTTTGGCTTAAGAATTTTATTTCAATTAAATTGAAAAAATAAAAAAGTAAACACCCAATGCTTGTATAGAAATATAAAAAGAGATTAATTTAAACAAATACAGACATTTTGTTCCATACTTGTGTGTGAAGACAAAATCTTGTTTAAGTGGAAATGTGTGTTCTAAGATATAGTAAAAAAGAACTGGAGGAGAAGGGAAAGAGTGGGTGTTTGGAGTTAGGTTTTCAAATCCAAATACCAGTTCAGATCTGGCAGACGTACTTAACATTACATGTGTGAATGTTTCTATTTGAAGTCCCACTGCAGTAAGTTGGTTAGTAGGTACTTAAGTCTTTCCGAACACTACGGGCGCGTCCAGACCAGCCCGCACGTGCCTCTTTCAGCATCTCAAACCCCTTTGAGACGCTGCAAGAGGCACATGCAGGAATGAGAAAATGTTCCCTGTGCTGCGAATTTGCAGCGCGGGGGGCAAAATTAGATCCCTGGGTCAAAAAACCCAGTAGAGAAGAAAAGTGGGGTGGGGCACAGGTTGGGGCAACTGGAGGCTGGGTCCTCCACAGAGACACTCTGGCTGCCAGAGCGTCTCTATGGTTAGCCATCG